TGGGGTCAGTTACAATCGTATCTACTTTGGACAATTGTATCGCCCTGCAATTTGTCGTCGAAATACCGAGGTACACTTGTCGTTCTGTAAGTGATGCTCTAGGCCTCCAATCTCACAGCTTTGTGCGTAACACAAGAGTCAATAGAACGATCAGTGGCTGCAACTAGCGAGGCCTAGGGCTGCCTAATTGCGCAGGAAATCCCTCGTTCCAAACAGGGCAATACTTGGACTTCCTTGTTTCGATTCGGCTCCTGTCGTTGATCCTCTCGATGCTCTCAATGTACGAAGTACTTCGGAGACAGATACTGGACGAGCGCGATCGTGATGATCCTTTAACTAACCGGCACCCTATTTTTGCTAATGGGGCGTAGAAAAGCCCATCACACCAGTACCGCTGCCGGGGAGGGGGCATCTCGGTAATTTAGTGCATCATAGCGTGGAAACGACGAGTAAGCATCGCTGGGCGCTTCGAGCTCATCTAGCCGGGTCCCGGGCAGTGCAGTGGGGAGGGAGGAATTATTGAGCCAGGAGGATCGAGTATTAGAACAGCTGGTATTGCTGGGTAACAAGGACCGTAAATAGCGCCAGGACCAGCTTTCGTCCCAAGGATGAGGTATTGGGTTAGGGGTGTAGTAGTGATCGGTAGTTGCGTCCTTCGGTTGTGAACGCAAATGGCTCGCCCAGCCGGAGAGTGTTCTTGCCCTGGTTGTCGGTGACAGGGTCTGGTACCGGACAGGATGCATTCAACTCCCGAAAGCAGCACAAGAGGAAAAGAAAACAAGAAATCTTCAGTTAGATCTGGTCCTGGGGTATTATGGGTTGCATGGGAATCAATTCTGATCTGATGTTGGAAGCTCTGCCGGATTTCGTATTAGTTACAACTTGCTTCGTTGAAGCAGCTTAGAAAGTGGCCACCTCTGCCCGAAAGAACGCCCACATATTGGACAATTTACACAGTTTTCTCCTGGCCTAGCAACCCTGTGCCGGCATACATAGACCGCTGAACCATCGTTATTACTTCGTATGGAGGTCTGCCGATTCGCTTTCTCCCAGACTTTCATGGCCAGACCCTTCCCGCCCCTCCTCCGCTGCATACAGGGCCAATCTCACATCACCGAAACAACAGTCACAATGTGACGACTTCACCAACCCGCATCCGCTACTACAATATGCACACATTCAGTGTTTCTTCACGAGTCAATGCCCGTCCGTTCGCGAGCCGAGAAACTCCCATCAGAACGTCCCTAGTCTCTTGAGAGGCCATTGGCCAATGGCCTCCAAATTCTCCGCCTTTTTTTTTTCTTGGAGAGGAATGGGACCTATAACACGAGTTGTTAAGTCCGTATCGGGGAGTGTCCTTGTCGGATATTATGGATAATTATAGAGGCGGAGAGCACCTTCTTCCTGAAACATCACAGCGCTTGAAACAAGGGGAACCTGGCCCCCCAAAAAAAACCGGACACCCTGACACATTTATGGAAAGGGGCACAAGCGTCTCAATGACCTATTTTCGGACTTCATGTTTCAAGCAGCTCTCGAACCCCTTCCCCGCCAGGATGGGAAATGAGTGATTGATTCTCGTCGTCGTTGTTGGCTCGCGGCGTGGAGACAGGAAGTTCCATCGAACATTCCAAGATGATCTGCAGAGCATTCAGCTAATTTTAGATGATTCTCTCTACCTCGGTAGTAATTTCCCACTTTGGTTAAAAAAAGAAGAAAAACAACGTTGACGACGCATGGCCTCTTGGCAGGCTTCGTACGGAGTTAAGGTCATTGCTTCATTTACTGCCCGCCGTACGGAGGAATCGATGATGCAGATGAAGGGCAAGGGAAATGATAGTATCCATAAACCGTTGCTTGGCTTAAAGCACTCCCCGGCCCCTTTCTGTTTCTCGGTAAGTTAGACATAAGTTGCTCATATGCCTTTGATCGGTAATCTCCGAATCTATTTACGAAGTAGGCAACCCAAAAAAATTGCACAGGCATGGGCAAGCCAAGTACGGATCATTGTCCCTCACGTACATAATGTGAACTAATAACCACAGTGCCCTATTTACAATGTTACAATGTTGTAGTGTAACGGTTTGTTGGGAAGCAGACTACACCACCCTAACCTCCTTGGCTATTGCGTTGCACAGAGCCACTTTGACTCCGGCCCCCATAAGCACATGAATCCAAAGCCGTTGAGTATCGCTGAGGCGATCGTTCGCGCTCTTGACTTCGGCAAACATACACTCCTTCTGAGGCTGCGTCCTCCACAAGATGAGGTCAGGCATGCCTCCGCCCCGCTGACGGTACTCCTGCGCCATTACCTTGCAGATGGCCGCCAGAGCCTCCCCCTCGAAGCAGCTGACAAGCTCGGCGAGGTCATCCACGTCGAAATCCCAGTTAAGTCCCACGACGCATGTCTTCCGCTCGCACTCCCGTTCGTAGACTTCTCGGAGGATACGCTCGGCACCACCGTTCGAGATCTCGACAAGGCGCCGGTTTATCTCCGATGCTCGTGTAGGATAGAATGAATCTGTGTGTAAATCGAGGGGACAGGACTGGTAGGCCGTCTGGAAGACGTTTGGAACGTAGAGGAAGATGATGTCGAAGAATAGATATGCAAACAAAGTACGAACGATGCCTCCTTCCGAGTGGTATCCTTTCCACCCGTGGCTTCGATACCAGCTGAGACACATTTCCTCCACGCTGCACTCGCCCCCGTCTTCGAGTTCGTCCACCCATACTGTCTTAGTACTGGGTGCCTTTCCCTTCTTGGGAATGATGTTCTCGTGCTTGATTTGGATCCCTTCAACAGTATGCTGGAGTGGTTCGTCGAGCCGTACATGTCTAAAATCGTGCTGGAGTCTGCGGGGAACCCGCAGTCTCTTTTCAAGTTTGACCAGGCGTTTCTGCAAATCGTAGTGGTAAATCAGGTGGCACTCGTTGTCCTGGAGTGCGACTTCGCATGTTTCCACAGCCTGTCTCCTCCAGTGCTTTTTCCGTTGCTCCTCGTCACCAGATATGGGCGTAGCATCAACTGCAAACATGTAGTGCTCTTCCAAAAGTGCCTTACGCTGATACCAACTTCCCCGCCTCGCCGTATGAAAGAGCCTTTGCCCTAGTAGCTCGACGAGGAGATCATACTCGCTCTTATATTTCTTGAGCCGCCCGAAACAATACGCGGCTTTATGAACGATTCGAGTAAGGGCATGTGTAGCAGTGAACCTGCGAAGATATGCACCTTCGCCGTATTCATAAATGGTATCTTCCTTGACCTGCTCCTCCGCCACAAGCTTCTTCCAGAAAGGATAAATGCCCTCAAATAGCTGAATGACTTTGTGAAAACCCTTTTCTCCGGGAAGATTTTCCGACTCTAAGATATTGTCGACTTCGGCTTCAAGCCTAATGGCGGCTTCAAACTTAAGAATGTGCGACCGCGAGGCAAATATGTTGGAAGTGCGGCCGACTAAGTAGTTGGCAAAATTTCGGCGCGATATCTTCGACAATATAATTGTTGTTAGAGAGTTTTCAGTCCACTCTGTCGACCTGTAGAAGACTAAATGGACTCTCTCGAACAACTTGAATGTCGTGGGTGATATCCTAATGCAAGGGCCGGTGATGGCCGAAACCTTGTCGAGAAACAATCCTCTTCTGTCCTCTCCCCGTTGTTCCGAAACGGTACAGGGAACTTCGCCCAGATGCTCGCCCTCCGCGAGCGAAGTTGAGGAGCCGGAGCGTCTAATACCCAAAGACAACAACCTGGTCTGTTGTTTACTGGTACGGCAGAGTGCCTGTGAAAGCTCCGACTTGGTCTTCCCCTGGAGCTTCCACTCTTTGGCAATCATCTTCATTTCTTCAAAGTTGAGAAGCCCAGCAGCATCCTCAACTGACGTTATATGGGACTCAGAGGAATCAACAAACACAAAAGAGTCTTCTATACAGACATCTTCCAGCTCTAGACCACATTGGATTTCTTGGGAAGGGCTGAGAACGGAATTGGGAAGAGATCGGAGTTGTTGCAGGGCTGAAACGGCGCGACCCATATCTGAGATATCGTCGTAGTAACCCAAACGGTTGATCCGATGCCATGATGCCGTCTTTCTCAGAAATAGTCGTACATACCTATAGGCCCTAGTCAGATTCTGAAAGTCTCCGGTTCAAAGAGAGATGCGCACAGGTACTGGGATTGATAATCAAGACCCTTCCACTCGTCAAAAACGCGTCGCTCCCGCTCATCAAAAAGATGCGACTCATCTTCCAGGACAGTGTCCAAGGCCAGGTTGAAGGCGTCAACATAAATCGAACTCTGGCCTTTTATCCATCTCCTCGACTTAGAAGTATCGCTAATTTCCTTCGGCTGGCATTCTCCGTCGCTTTCCATCGCTTCAGTTTCCGACCCGATATCCACAAAAGCGCCTTCCAGCCCCGAGCCTGGCCCGTCATTGTTAGCACTCAGAAACTCCAAGTCGGTTACCAAAGGAGAATCCACTGAATCAACTCCCTCCGGCTCCCTTGCGCTTCGAATCTCAGAGTCAGATTGTGTGTCATTGGAGAGACGGCGTTTCTTGGTAGGTCGCTCTCGATCGTCCACGGCAACCTGGAGAGAATTTTCCCAGGATTGTATTACTTGAGAAGTCTGCGGGGTCAACTTCCTCCTTAAAAAAGCATCCATATTAGTACTGAGAAGGAGAAACAACCCCTATTTAAGAGACGTTAGAATTGGACTTGAACGTTGGATGTGATTAATCTCGGCACACGCGAAAATAGAGTTTGAGAATGCCACGCGTTTCCCCATTCCAGAGCCAGACGCCAGGCTCTACGCGATATCACGTGGTACAGCTCTTATCGATAAGCACGAACATGGAAAGTTGACGGACCACGCTGCTCATCTCATGCCTTTTCTGGACCTTTGTTCTGTTGGACTACCTTAGTACATCCTCGCCATTGACCGCCCTTGTCAATATTCTTTTCGTGTCTCAGTCGGCTTTATCTCCTGACCTATTACCGAGACCATGACCGATCCCACAAACGCCAATCCCTCTCCCAACGCCTCTGCTGTCGTGTCTGATACCCCTCCTGCTCCAGCGCCCTCAGCACCCACCACGAATACAGACGTCGCAATGACCGATGCAGACAGTCATCTTCCTGTGCCTGTTCGTCACCGCCTCTCAAGTTTCTATCTTCTTGGTTCTTGGGAGCGACCATGCGTTGTAAAGGGAACTGGCGGAGGACTAACTTGAGACGAAATTTAGGAGCCTCCTCTTGTACCAGAGCCCACAATCGACGGCGCCGATCGGGATTCTGCCTCCAACACTTTACCATCGACGAGGCCCGCCAACATTCGCCAGTATCTAAACGAGAAAGTATGCCCTAGTCTCACTGCGGGCTGTAAGCTGCTCTTCCAGGACCCGGACCACCTGTAAGCAGCATCATTAACCACCTTTTCGTCTGCTGCTTGCATGCGCTAATATAGACTTTGGTTTGAATAGTCCGGAAGATCCCCTTCGAATTCTTGGAGAATACCTCCTCGAGCGCCACGCTGAGATTGTTGCGCAAAGGACGAAAGAGGTACAAGACACACCAAAGGTCGACAGACCTAATGGCGAAACAGCTTCAGTATGACGGCCGCGACCTTAAATTCGAAGCATTGTTTTGAGCGTAGTAAGAGCATGGCCGCCGTCCTACGGTACGGTACGTTTGGGTGAGGCGTTTCAGGATCGTTACAATAAAAAAGGAGGAGAATATGCTGTGCCGGGTAGTGGACTGATCACGATACCACTTCGATGCTAATGAGGTGACGACGACGGATTTTTTATTCTTCTTCACTTTAAATTTTAACCATGCGAGGCATGAACCAAGCAACACCCTTTATTTTCGGTTGCGAAAGCTCAAGTGCAATAATTTTCATAGAACCATAGCAGCGATTACCGCTGCGAAATGCAATTTCCTTTTCCCCAACTCCATAACTGCCGGGAGAACCGTCACATGCATTTGCGAGCCTTTTCCAGACTTCATTTAAGCAACAAGGGTGCTGGCAGTGGCGCTCTCATATCGCCAGTTGGGGGGGAGGTTACCGACACGGCGGTAGTATCGGGAGAGACGGTGGATCCTGGACTCGATGAGAATGAGGCGGAACTTGGCGTCCATATCCTTTCGGTTGCGCTCGAGGTGCTTTCGGACGGCAACAGCCTATTGGAGGGGGAAGGGCAATTAGTTATGTTCCGAGATACGAAAAGAGGGAGCGACTGGTTGAGACAAACCTTCTTGATCAAGTTGTAGAGGTCCTCAGGGAGTTCGGGGGCGAGGCCTGTACATAGATCACACTGTCAGCCGTGACCAACAGAGGCATTCCACAAGAGCTTTCGCTCTTGCGGGCGAGGCAAGGTGTATTTCGGACAGAAAATCCATGCGCTTCGCTGTATATGTTCAAGGCGGAACGATCGTACCGTGAGACTTGAGGATACGGAGAATCTTGTTACCTAGATTGCGCAAGATGACGGGTTAGTCTCAATCCCACTCCCAATTGACAATCCAATCTCGACATACCGGTGATGGTCTTGACCTGGGCAACACCGTGGGCGTCACGGAGGACAACACCAATCTGAGAGGGGGAGGCACCCTTCCTGGCGAGCTTGCAGATCTGCTCGGCGACCTGGTCGGGAGAGGCCTTGAGCCACGCGGGGGGGTTGCGGGAGTAGGGGATGGCGGAGGCAGAAATGCCCTTGCCCTTGCTGTGAAGTCTACCCATTTTGTCGGTTGTTGAGGTCGGGGGTTGTCGATTGGACTTGGTGATGCGGTTACGGGAAAAATGTCGATGTTGGACTTCGTCGGGAAGCGAAAAAAAGTTACCTGTGTCTGAGGGCTGAGGGGACGGTCGGCGAAAATTCGCGTAATTAGGGCCCCTCTCAACCACTTCTTAACCATGCGACGACAAAGTCTCATATGTCTCACGTGATTTCGCATTTATGACTAAGCACTCCGGGTGCAATCTTGCCTTTTGCTACAAAACGGCTCTGGATCGACGAAAACTTCATCCCTCAAATTTCTGTTGCACTCCCGAAGCCCTCCAGACAGCATCTTGCTTGGTAGGGAACATTACAGAACATGCTCGTCTTATTGTAGAACCATGCAGCAGCTCATGGCTACCACCTGCCGGTTTGGGAGTTTAACATGAGCTTTCTGAGCGGATCGTTCCAACTTTCGAGGCGAGTTCCTGAAATCATCTGCCTATGCGGACTTATCCTCAATGGAAAGCGTTTGGCCAGCGTTGTGGTATGTACCCATCACCGTTTATTTCTTCTTCGTTTCCCACATGCTCTGATGACACCAAACAAACTTTTTTCTGGTACCTCTTATGTTAGGGTCTCCGGATCCAATGAATGTAATGGACTTCTGATTGTTCATGAAACTCGTGCCCATTTGTTAAACGCTTTATCTGGGTTCTTCGAAGCTAACTGTCATCAAGTCCCACAGCTCAGTCTCCCTGAGTGAGATGAATCGAAATGCCGTAGAAGCCAGCAATATAATAATATATCATAACTTTCGTCTCGTATTCTCAATTTTTTTTGTGTCATTGAATGAAACTAGTTTACAATGCTCCCCTAGTACCTTGGCGGCGTTCCCTCCCTGTTCTCCTTTCACAACGCGAGAACTATGCAACTTCTGATCATTTTCACCTTGAGTTGTGGTACTGGTAGCCGAAGGTGGCGCGAACCGTGATTCCCTATTGCTCCTACGAAGTGTAAAACCGCCCAATACATCCTTTTACCACGCTCCAACCTCGAAATTTTCCTACGCCATGGTTAATAATGCATGCGCTGGCACCTTCGGGGATGGGGGCTAACGCTTACCTCCGGGAAATAAGTAGTGACAACGGTCCGGTCAGCAAATTTCCTACCGGCCAAGGCTCGGAGAGCGTTCGTCGCAGAGTCTTTTGTTGAGAACTTCACATAAATCTTTCCGACGCCAGGTGACTGTCTGCTGCCACCAACGGGTCGCGGGACCTTGAGGGCAACAATGGTGCCAAATTTGGCGCACTCATCGCGAACGTCCTCGCAGATTTCTAAGTCGCATTAGCATAAGTTTATGTGCATACTTGGGAAGGGATTATTACCTTCGTAATCGTCATTGTCCATCAGTTCATCCGGAGTTACCATGTTAAGCAGCTGAACAACTGAGCTCTCCTCGCTCTCCGTGGACGTTGTTCCGGCAAGCATGGACATCGCATTGACTCCCATCTCGATGCCCGAGACTTGTTTAATGCCAATACTAGCCTTTCTAACCTTGAGTTTCTTGTCTCCAAGCTCCATGCCGTTGAGTCCATCAATCGCAATATCTGTAACCGAAGGATCGACGTACTCGCAGAAGGCAATGCCCTTTAAAATAGTTAGCGACGGAGCTCTCGATTCGCAATTCAGTGAGTATTTAGATACTTACCCGCGATTCGTCGGTATGCTGGTCTCGAAGAAGAACAAAAGACTTGAGCTCGCCAAAAGAGACAAGGAGTTCAGTGGCTTGTTCATCAGTAAGGTACGTAGGAAGGTCGGCGATGCTGATCTTATTAGGCGTGTCAGGAACAACATTGGAGACGACGCCAGGCTCGTAAGGCGTATCCACTATCGCGGGAACAATGTAATCCTTAGGGCGTTTAATCTCGAGTCCCTTAGGCTCGGCAGATCCGTTATTTGCCATGGCCTCATCAGCATCCACAGATATTCCGTCCAAAGCCAAAGCAACAGTAGCGTCTGCGGCAGACCTAAACTCGGCAAGGGCGAATGTGTGGTCCTTTGATACCTGACAACTGGTACAAGGATCCGTGCCCTCGATAACGTTCAGACCATTAAGTTGCAGATTGAAGAAGGATTGCAGGGCCTCGTCGGTTAGGGAGGGCGGGACATTGTATACCAGGAGTCGTTTCGATTGGCGTGAATGGGTAGGCTTCAAAGCGTCTCGGTTTACTTGCGAAGTTGGTTGATTCATGAACGCTTGCAGCTTGCCCGGGTCCATGGCTTGCTGGCGGGGTGCACCAGGCAACGGGAACATTCCCGACAACTTGGCCTGTTCCGCAGTGACGTTCTCATACCCAGGTGGCTTAATATCCCATTGCGTGAGGCGACGCTTGCGTTCAAGGATCGGGATTACGTCGGTCAAATCCGGAGTAGGCTCGCGAGGCTTCGGGGGAGGAGATGGGCTTCGGCGCCGGTCGCGGCCGCCAAAGTCATCCCTGTCGCGTCCTCCACGGCGTCTATCGTCGAAAGCGTCACCTCTATCTCGCCTAGCGGGCCGTTCATCTTCGTCTCTCCTACCATCCCTACGAGAGCCTCGATCGCGGTCCCACTCGCGCTCGCCTCCACGCCTCTCTCGACCAGAGTACCGATCTTCCCGTTCTCGATCCCTGTGGCTTCGGCTTGAAGAATACGCATCAGTTTCATCGTCGCGGCGCCTGGAGCTTCGGTAATTGGGGGATCTTGATCGTCGTCGCTCGCGGCGCCCATCTCGGTCTCGGTCTCGATCTCGGTCGCGATCTCGCCTATGCTCCTCGCCGCGGTCGCCACGCGACTGCAATGGATGTGTCAATGAGTGTATGATTTGAAATAGTGTGATGAGAGACTTACAGCATAATCTCGCTTCCGGCCACCGTCTATTAGAGCTGTCAGAAAATCTGCCGAACAAGGTAGGAGCTAGAGAAAACATACCTCGAGAGTAGCCCTCGCCGTTCATTGTAATGCGAGTGCCCTTCTGAAGACTTGTGGTGGATGATTTCACAGGGGGCTAAAGAAAGGAAAAAAGAATGGGCTCGCAAATGCGTTGTGCAGAAGGGAAAAAATTAGATGGAAATCTCTCTACGATGGTGTCTTTGCTTTTGTAACTCTGATGGTGGAGCAGGCATGAAGTAAAGGAAGCTGCACCTCGCATTGATCCAAGCACTGCTGAGTGAGGTGAGGCTGGAACTTTTTCGATGGTGGTGGTCATAGCGCCTACCCAATCACAGTTGTGAGAATGTGACGCTGGGAGGTGCTTGAACATTGAGCATTGCGCTGTGGCAAAAGCCTGTGGCTGAGTAAGGAGTTTAACCTCAATTGGTGAGTTGCAGGCCTCGAATTGGGGAGTGTTCCTGTTTCATACCATGAAAGGGGAGCAAAAACCATTTGCAAACATAAGACCTTGAGATACTTAAAATTTTATCACCTTAAAGAGAAATTCCCCAGATATATGTTGGTACATATATGATATAAATCCGGCGACAATTATACTCATTCCTCTCCTCTCGAGCCCCAAGAGATGAGTCGGATCCGGGCAGCTGAATGGCGGAAGCTACCCCTGAATTTGACGGAGCTCTGCATCGATACCACTCTTAGATGCGGGCAGTCTTTCCGATGGAGAAAGTCTGATGACGAATGGTTGGTTGATCCATTCTATTCTCTATTACATCTCAAAACAATGCGTAACTAACTGCTGCAGGTCCTGCACCCTGAACGGGCGTATTGTATCCCTAAGGCAAGATGCTACTCACCTGCATTACAGGGTCATCTGGCCAGAAAAGCTTTCTAAATGCCAAGGTTCACGGGAAACGCAAGTAGATGACACGGAGGCGCTCTTAAGACATTACTTGAGCTTGAAGGTTGACCTAGGGTCTTTGTATAAGCAATGGTCTGCGTCTGATCCGAATTTCCGCAAACGAGCACCACAATTCACTGGTGTTCGAATCCTTACTCAAGATGCCTGGGAAACTCTTGTCAGTTTTATCTGCAGTAGCAACAACAACATCTCAAGGATATCACAAATGGTTAGCACGGAGATATGTCGATACATGTCTAGCGGCAGCGTTACTAATGTTTGTGTAGGTCCACAAACTCTGTGTAGCGTATGGGCCTCTTATCGGTCATATCGGAGATGTGCCTTTCCATGCCTTTCCTGAACCCGAGGCCTTAACGGGCGAAGAAGTTGAATCACAATTACGAAGCCTCGGATTCGGATATCGGGCCAAGTACATCGCCAAGACAGCTCAGATTGTCGCCTCGAAGCCAAAGGGTTGGCTGAATAGCCTTCGGAACCCCGACAATCCGGCATTTCCTCAAACTCCGATCCTCGATTCATGCGGCAATGATCCGGTTATCACGTACAAGGCTGCTCACACCGAGCTTCTCCAGCTAGCCGGCGTGGGTCCCAAGGTCGCCGACTGCGTCTGCCTGATGGGGCTTGGTTGGGCTGAGGCCGTTCCCATTGATACCCACGTATGGCAGATAGCTCAGAGAGATTATAAGTTTGGGAAGGGGAAGACAAAAACCTTCAGCTTGAGCATGTACGATGCGGTAGGGGATTTCTTCCGTGAACTTTGGGGTAAGGAGGCTGGTTGGGCACATTCCGTTCTCTTCACGGCCGACCTTAGAACTTTCTCTGATCGGGCTGTGAAAAAGGAAGATGTGGCTGCTGCTGTGGTGAAAATTGAAGAGACAGCACAGAAGACGGTTATTCCTAAGAAGAGACGCCGGGACAGCTTAAAGATAGATGGCGCGCCCGACATTAAGTTGTCAACGAGGGAGCTTCTCCAGGATGATGATCAGAAGATGCAAGTAAGAAGAAGTACGAGGATTCGAATCAGCACCAAAATAAAACCATAAAGCCTCGTCCAAGTGCCGAGAGGAAAGTCGACGCATCTCTAGACCTTTCAATGCCCGCCTTACACTTACCAAGGTGATTGAGCAGACTGAGCAGCGTTGTCCTTAGATTCTAAATTTAACAAGAAAAAAAGTTGTGGAAGGACCTATGCTTAAACACAAACCCAGTTCCCATAAGGAGGCGAACGAAGCTATTCACAACTCGGCTTTTAGGGTTGTTTCTGGCTGGCCTCGATGGGATACTGGATGTCGACGACGCCAACTGGTCCGTGAATGCGGGACATTGGCCTCAGGTAAAAGGCTTAGTGAGCTCATATGTTGGAGTAAGGGAGGCAACAGGTTTAACTCCAATTACGGACATCCACTACAAAGTGGCATCAATTGATGTCGCTCATTTTTGGCGTAGCGGGCTAAATCCAACATCATATATCCTGCCCTCTGATGAGTGTTGGTCCAGTGGATAATACGTGGCAGTCGCTTCCTGATGTAGCTGATGAGTGAGCATCAAACTTTTTGCGCATATTTTCGGGCACAGCGACCGAAAGGGAATTTCGGCATACGTGGGATCAATGGTTGTCGATGTTGCCGCAGCGCCAACTGTCAAGGGATCAAGGGATGCCTAATGCGGCAAATCCTCGGCATTTATCAGCACAGAGCCAAGACAACAGCCAGCCTCGTCGCGCAAAGTTTCTTCGATGAAAAACCTCTTTCCATCGAACTCATCCATCATTAAAACGCCAAGGCACACGATATCATATCTCAATGAGCTTGCTCGGCGCATTTCACAAGAGGAATATTACAAAAAAGGCGTGTGCCATGTCATGCACTTTTCCGTAGCCGACCATGTCTGACGCGGATTTCGAAACGATCAGGAAGCTCCAAGCTGAGCGGAACGCGGCCAAGAAGAGTTCGCGGACCTTTGACCCTGCAAACCAACGATCCGATTCGACCAAGCAGAAGCTGACGGACTCTTTCGATACCGATCTCTACGACCGCGATGGCGCCGATAAATACGCTGGATACCACACCTCCATCCCGGCTGCGGATGAGGATGATGAGGTGATGGAGGATGGCGACAGCTCGAGACGCCTTGTGGGCCAATACACCGCGCCCAAGGCCGTGATTGACGATATAACGCATGGTAACGGGGTTGACGATGACGATCTCCTAGCCGGTCGAGGCGAACGGAGCACCCGCATTATCGATCGCGAAACGGATTATCAGAAGCGCCGGTTCGATCGCGTGCTCACCGACACTCGAGCTGATCCCTTCGCGGCGAATCGCCAAGCTGGCGCCCCTGAAGATGGGACGAGCTATCGCGAGGTGATGGAAATACGCGAGCTGGAGCGTGAGGAAGAACGCGTTCGACGAGAGATTGCGTCTAAACAGCTTGGCAAGGTCGGGGAGGAGGGTGAACATAAGGAGGGTGTTCCGACTCTGAAGGAAGGTGATAAAGAGAACGCCGAGGCCGGGCCCACTGAGGAGGTCACGGCTGTTAGGAAGCGAAAGAAGAGGTGGGATGTTTCGTCGACTGCAGCCGAAGAACCGGCCCCGGCCGAGCCTGTCAAGGCCAAACGTTCTCGATGGGACCAAGCCCCCGCGATACCCACCCCTGGGGAAGAAGCCCCCAAGAAGAAATCTCGATGGGATCAAGCACCTGTCGCCACTCCCGCCGCCGGCCAAGCCGCTGTGACCCCAGCGCATCCCTCCCAAGTTGGAGGCGCGCTCCCTCCAGGCTTTCCGGTCGATGCTCGCAACATGCCTATTAGTGATGAAGAGCTCGACGCTCTTCTTCCCGGAGAAGACCAGGGATATAAAATCCTCGTGCCACCTCCGGGTTACGAGCCCGTTAGAGCGCCGGCCCATCGCGTGGCTGCGACGCCCGCTTCTCAGACTGGCTTCATGATGCAGGACCCCAACGCGGTCAGGCTGAGTGGGAAGCCTATGGCTGCTGAGATTCCCGGTATGGGAGACCTTCAATTCTTCAAGCCTGAAGACATGGCCTACTTTGGAAAGCTTGCCGATGGCGCGGACGAGAATGTTCTCACCGTCGATCAATTGAAGGAACGGAAGATCATGAGGCTGCTCCTGAAGGTAAAGAACGGCACCCCGCCAATGCGTAAAACTGCGCTGCGTCAGCTCACGGACAACGCCAGAAACTTTGGTGCCGGGCCCCTCTTTGATCAAATCCTACCTCTGTTGATGGAAAAAACTCTCGAGGACCAGGAGCGCCATCTCTTGGTCAAGGTCATTGACCGTATCCTCTACAAACTCGACGATCTGGTGCGACCATATGTTCACAAGATCCTGGTCGTTATTGAGCCGCTCCTTATCGACCAAGATTATTATGCCCGTGTGGAAGGTCGTGAAATTATCTCCAATCTCAGCAAGGCCGCCGGACTTGCAACAATGATCAGCACCATGAGGCCGGATATCGACCATGTCGACGAATACGTCCGCAATACAACTGCACGAGCCTTTGCCGTCGTCGCATCCGCCCTTGGTATCCCTGCACTCCTCCCCTTCCTTCGAGCTGTTTGTCGCAGCAAGAAATCATGGCAAGCGCGCCATACCGGTGTGAAGATTGTGCAGCAGATTCCCATCCTCATGGGATGTGCTGTGTTGCCCCATCTCAAAGGCCTTGTCGAGTGCATAGGGCCTAATCTTAACGATGAACAGACCAAGGTTCGGACTGTCACCAGTTTAGCAATTGCTGCTCTGGCGGAGGCGTCCAACCCGTACGGTATCGAGAGCTTCGACGATATCTTGAACCCCTTGTGGACTGGAGCTCGTAAGCAACGAGGAAAAGGTTTGGCCGGCTTCCTTAAGGCTGTCGGCCACATCATCCCGTTGATGGACGAGGAGTATGCCAACTACTATACCAGTCAAATCATGGAGATCCTGCTACGAGAGTTTTCGTCTCCAGACGAGGAGATGAAGAAGGTTGTGCTTAAGGTAGTGTCGCAATGCTCGAGCACCGAGGGCGTCACAGCGGGCTATCTAAAGGAGCATGTTCTGGACGAATTTTTTAAGAGTTTCTGGGTAAGGCGAATGGCTCTGGACAAGCGCATCTACAGGCAAGTGGTCGAAACGACCGTCGACCTGGGCCAAAAGGTCGGCGCCAGCGAGATCCTGGAACGGATCGTGGTTAATCTCAAGGACGAAAGTGAGCCTTACCGGAAGATGACAGTGGAAACAGTGGAGAAGGTTGTCGCTAGTCTTGGTGCGGCGGACATTGGTGAGCGGTTGGAGGAGCGCCTTATCGACGGTATTCTTCATGCTTTCCAGGAGCAGAGTGTTGAGGACATCGTGATGCTTAACGGCTTTGGCTCGGTAGTCAACGCCTTAGGCACGCGATGCAAGCCTTACCTACCCCAGATTGTCAGCACTATCTTGTGGAGGTTAAACAACAAATCCGCAACCGTACGACAGCAGGCTGCAGACCTCATTTCACGAATCGCCATGGTCATGAAACAGTGCGGCGAGGACGCTCTCATGGGTAAACTCGGCATTGTGCTTTACGAGTACCTCGGAGAGGAGTATCCGGAAGTTCTTGGATCTATCCTGGGAGCTCTCAGGTCCATCGTCACTGTTGTCGGTATTGCGCAAATGCAACCCCCCATTCGGGATCTTCTACCACGGCTTACGCCAATTCTCCGCAACCGACACGAGAAGGTCCAAGAGAACACGATCGACTTGGTTGGACGCATTGCCGATCGTGGTCCAGAGAGCGTCAATGCAAGGGAGTGGATGCGTATCTGTTTCGAACTCCTCGATATGCTCAAGGCTCACAAGAAGGGCATCCGGCGTGCCGCCAACAACACGTTTGGTTTCATTGCCAAGGCTATCGGACCGCAGGATGTCCTTGCAACTCTGCTGAACAACCTCCGAGTGCAAGAGCGACAGTCCCGAGTCAACACGGCCGTCGCTATTGGTATTGTCGCCGAAACTTGCGCGCCGTTCACGGTCCTACCAGCACTCATGAACGAGTACCGCGTGCCCGAGCTCAACGTGCAAAACGGTGTTCTCAAGTCTCTTTCGTTCTTGTTCGAGTACATTGGTGAGATGGCCAAAGATTACGTCTACGCCGTAACGCCACTACTCGAAGATGCTCTTATCGACAGGGACCAAGTTCATCGACAGACGGCGGCCTCCGTTGTCAAGCACATTGCCCTCGGTGTCGTCGGTCTCGGCTGCGAAGATGCAATGGTTCACCTACTGAACCTCCTTTACCCCAACCTCTTCGAGACGAGCCCACACGTCATCGACCGCATCATCGAGGCCATCGAGGCCATCCGCATGGCCGTTGGCCCTGGCATTGTTATGAACTATGTCTGGGCGGGTCTTTTCCATCCGGCACGCAAGGTGCGACAGCCGTACTGGAGGCTCTACAACGATGCCTACGTCCAGTGCGCAGATGCCATGGTGCCGTACTATCCCAACCTCAGCGAGGAGAAGATTGACCGCCCGGAACTAGCTATTATCTTGTAATTTATTTACAGCAGGGGGGATGTGGAAGGCGAACATTGGAAGATTGCTCTGCGCTTTTAGGGGGACACGAAAGAGGGTATACTTAGGGTGCCGTGGTGTTGACGTATTCTTGTATGGATTTGAGAAGTTGAGGGTTTTTCATTTGTACATTTGCTTTCATTGCACCGGCGCATATATGGGACGGGTTGACCAGTTTAGAAGAGGGTTAATCAAAAGCCTAATTGATTCCAGTCTTTGGGTAGCACACGATGGTGCTCTCGCTTATGTTGATTGATATCTCGCATGGCGCCTCGACACACGCAGCAGGATGTCTGTTTGCTACTACTCCTCGTGGTCACGACAAAATAGGATGTCGAAATACCGGGTAAAAAACGTTCGCGCCTGCAATCATGCGGCAGCAGGCAGCGCCTCTTTTTCCAACGCCAACCCAATCGCCTGTCTCCAAACAACATCCGGTGCTTTGCTCTGCCTATCCCCGCCCTGTCGGCCCTTCTCACTTCTACCCGCGGGGAGTGGCTGTTTAGTCCACACACCGATTTCCACCGGTGTAAACTCAAAAGCCCTCCCCTGGCTCGCCAGCATCACACAAGGCAGGACAGTTTCCAGAGCACAGACACGAAGAAGAGCATCAAGGGTCCTTTTGAAACCCTCGTATTTGATAAGACACCAACTATGTCAGTGGCTTTTCTATAAGCGAGGAGGGGGGTGGGGTCTCCTTTCCATCAAACCCCGACTCTAGGTAATTCTCCTAGCGCAACTGATATAGTTCGTGCTTTGGGAGGCCGCTCTGGCTCAAACCTTGGAGTAGAAGTCAAGAGCCTTCTCGCCCGACGTTCTCGCGGCCGCTGCTTTAACGCTAGATGGGCGCTGGGGAGAACCAACCATTTCCCCTTTTGAACAGTTTTCCGCGCTCTCATCAGCTCCACCGGCCCCAATCCCCCCGTTTTCCCCGGTAGCCAAGTCTCGAAGGGGCGACGCCGGTGAAATGAAATCGAGTAAAAGACCACAGCGCGATATCCGGACCAGGCAATTGCGTCACAGGAAGCTAGTAGGCTCCTGTAAATGTATCGAGAACAGGGAAGCGTCCCTAGATGCGGGTCAAGGGACAAACTGGAGAAGGTTCAAACACTCGCCCACCTTATGACGCAAGTGGCACAAGGCGGGGGGTTAGAAAGGATGAGGAGGCGTCTAGAGCCGGCGTTAGTCCAGAGTGACCAAAATGTATCTGGGTACTTGGAAATTGTGCGGGGGAGAATTGGCTCCGTGCCATTGAGAATATTAAGTCGAACCCCAGGTACTTTGTTGAAACTTGGCTTTCGGGATTTGGAGGATTCAAGTTCTAATGTGTTGGTAGATTTGATAGTGCAGCGGCATGTGTGAGTGGGTGTAGCGTGGTGGAGTGTAGTTCATGTGGCATCAACGTTCTCCACCTCCCCCAGATCTTTACGAAGTAATCTTACATATTTCGTTCTGCATTTAGTTCTCGATCCACTAATTTCGCGCAAAGCTCAATGACCCGGTGTCGTTCTTTCCGTCTGTCCAGTTCTTTCATAGAATGACGAGTTGACGAATTGAACATGAAACTTCCCTCTTGGTGAACTTACGTGTACAACGTTATGTACAATTCTAATCGGCCGGGCTTCGAATGAATCGCCCGCCGTTCATGCATGTGATGAGGGAGGTCCAGGCCAGGAGCAGGAGTATGGTGAGCAGGTGCTAATGTATCGATACCAAACGCCCGTTGCCGGATGTACCCCTCGACATCTATGTCGTTCTCGTTTGGGGTGTAAAGTGCGTCGTCTCAAAATGGAGGAGAAGCATAGAAAACTTAGATGCTTGCTAACATTCGTAACAGAAAGTGTGGAAGTACTTCAATGCCCTGGAAATGAGAAAAAGCAAGGAAAGGGTCAATCCGAATCCCCCTTTTCTTTCTTCGACGTAACTTCCTGAGTAGGTTTGCTCTTCTCGCCCTCAATTCGTTCGATTCTTAGTTGAGGTTCTGATATAATTGGCGTCGTTTGGTTCCAATCATCGTCAAGACTCGAGAACACTTTCCCAGATCAATGTACAAGCAAAACCGTTGCCCAATGAGCCGGCTCAGCCAACCACCTTCCCGGTATGAGATATGACGCGAACATGCCCCGAAGTCTGAAGAGTACAATTTGGATTGTACCGAGTGTATTTTGTAATACTCGAGCAGAACGAGCCAGTGAGAGTCGAAGTTTCGAACTTCCAGCAAGCGAACGCAGGAGTCAATTGCGATTTCTAATTTCTAAAAAGGCTTGGACCAACTTCGCACAGTATTCAATTGACGTCTTGATTGGAAAGAGCAGGAGCCAGGATTGGAGTGAAGCGGGAAGGCGGGGCGTGGGCCTCTTGTGAGATGTACCGGGATCATCGGGTCGCCCTAGCCCGAAAGGGAATGATCACTGTGTACTAGTACTGTGCGGGTGGACGAGAAGGGCGTGGCTCTAAGACGGACCCTTGGCCGGGGCTTGACAGGGAAACTTCCTAAGTTTACTACACAGAACCATAACGTCATCGTGCATGAGTGAGAATAGGGCCAATTCCCACGACGTCCTGAAGACTGCACTTTGAAACCACACTACACAGCGCGGTATCGAACGGGAGAGAAAGCATTATCATCGATACAGCCTGCAGCGACCCCTTTATCTCCCAAGGCAGGGGATCCTGCGTCAAGCGATCCATCCACTTTTGAACACATCCCTGAACGAACAACCCAAGGATCTGGGCAATGGCACGTGCCGGGCGGACGATCAACCTCATCAGTGACCAGCGTGCCTTGGAGGCGGCAGGTCATACCGCCGTAAACCTGTGTAGACTGGCCCCCTTTCCTCCAGCGAAGAATTTCAAGAGTAAAGGTACGGAAATGAGAGCCTTCTCAATGGCTCGTCTAGTGCATGTACCTTGGAGGTGTCGGGTACCAGGACAAGACCCAAGCCAAGGCTTTGAGGCTCTCTCGCTCCGCAGGCCCAGGAAGGGGAATACCATGCGGTTCTCATTGCTATGGTGGTTTACTTATTTTCTATTAGTATCGACCCTCAGCCGGTGTTATACTAAGTACTCCTTTTTTCTGGACCAAAGTACCGGTTTAGGAGGCAAGGAGGTCAATATATATGCTAGTTCAGGCCTACATCATAGCCTACAGCTTCTAGGTGAGCGTATCAAGATAAAATAGCTCGGCTCGAAGTACCATGGACAGCGGGCCATTTCAAGAATCACCAGTTGGCCTTGTCGGGGCTCAAGCTACTTTACACTCCTTTAATTGATTGATTTTCGATCAATTACCCCAGTGTGGCGATCCGGTCCCACAGAATAATGCAACTATTTTTCTAAAACTTGAATTTGACTACGTCCACCATTATTTGGTCGACAGCTGTCTAGGTTTTGCTGTATGTGATGACAATATGCACGTTCTGCACCCAGGCATCGGGGGTTTCATCAGCATGTGGTCTCTGGATTTGGAAGACTGTGCAAGCCCGATAGAGGAAACTGAACCTCCGGGGGGCTGTATCAACAGGAAGACCAACGCACCGTCAGATCTACAGTCCGTGTATTCGTTTGAATGGCGAGTTAAGATGGAATTTTGGGCAAACGGCGGCATAAGAAACCTATGCTGAGAAAAGGGGCAGCCTGACCGATGAGGGCTTTTGATGTTTCTGCGCATGGTCTCCAATGCGGTCTCCCCCATTCATTCTGTGACATGCGAGGAAGTGTGGACGTCGACATTGATATTTCCGACTGGCCGATTAGGCTGGCCGTATTATTGTAAAGGGTCCGGTGTGCGGCGTAAAATTATGGGGGCTTTTTCTCTCCTCTGGGCGGCTCGGCAGTCTAATTGATGATTAACCTCAGACCTCAGAGCAACGTGAATTCGAACAGTGCTCGCACAGATTAATGTCAACCTCACCAGCCGAATTTTGGCCCCTCCCCCCATGCCAACGTTGTGTCGCCCGACAAATGAGGATGAAACACCCGCATAATTTCTATTCTTGTCGACACCACCTCTGCCCGCGTTACGAATCGCCAAGTTTGTACTTGGCATTGTGGCGTAAGACGTTGGTTTATCCTTCTCCTTCTTTTTAAGCTTAAGGCCATTTCATCTGATTTAAGGCCATATTGAGTTGGAACATTGAAGTGATTTGATCTGGGCAATTTACACTAAACCGCAAGGGATGAATACAGAGACGATCAGCAGGGACAGGACGTACAGACATTGATATGGTCTCAGGGCCTGGGCGCATTCGACACCATTGTCCGACGTAAGTTGACGAAGTAGGCACGAGTACTTTTATTTGCCAATTCAGGATCCTGTGCTGCAAGCTCACTCGGTAATTGAAAATGAGATTGCTGTGCCAAAACGCACATGGCACCTCGGTTCAAAGAGTCACGAACTAACTAAATGGCGGCGTGGACCAACCATGCCCGGTGCCACGACGCCCCACTGAAGGGGAGATTCAACGCCTCCGTGCAAAAATCAACGAAAACCAGACCCGTGTGCGTGTTCAACATTCCGTGGCTCTGGCCTTGGAAAATGCAGGTTTCCGGACGGAGAACAAAGTAACTATTCCGGCTCAACGTTTTGCATCGTGGCAATAGATACCTTTGTACTTCGTACTACGAAGGATATGGACCACCTAGCACCCCCATCGGGATCGGGGATTGACTTTCTGTGACCGTGTGCCCCACGAGGAAACAGGAAACCAGGCCGCCGGACAAAACCCAAAGTCTTCAGAACCAGTCTTGAAGCTTTCAATGTTCCATCCAACCCGTTCCCACCCACCGGTAAGGTCTGCGCCACACGCTACCACCCTTCTGAAACGGCTCTACTGCATGTTTTGTCCATGGTCCGGGGGCTTTTCCAAGGGATCCAAGGGGAGCATTGGAGCCCGTGCCGGCTTGCCTCCCGCATATCTTCCTTTCCAATGTCCGTTCTCAGGCGCACTTTCCTTCGGACGGGAAAAAAAAAGAAGGACAATACAGGTTACGTCATTTTATGAAGTACCTTGGATATTTGGAATCTGGGGCAGTAGCGACGCAAAAAAAAAAAGGAATGAGCTCCTCCCCACAGAGCTAATGTACACTAACTAATTATATCAAATATAATTTCGGACATTGGGGGCTAATTCATCAATGGAGCTTAAGGAAGCAGGGACGATGGAGGGAACGATCGGGACCGGGGAGTGCCTCATACCGTAGTTGACGATTGCTGCTTGGAGTCAAACCAGACCTCAAATTATGAGAGAATTGGAGTTCGGCGCATGGAGGGTACCGAGAACCACTTCTCAATATCCTCGTGGCGTCAGTTTCTCACAATCATACTACGCCTCAAACTCACTTTTGAAGGGGGAAAAATATAGCAGGAGAAAGGAATCGAGGCTCTCGCTCGCTCGGTGTCGCCGCAGCCATGTAGCATTGTTCGTCAAATTAGTATGTTAAAGAGGAAAAAAAACAAGCTTGATCATTATCATTACAGTCCTCTTAGCGGCACCCACCCACTGTCTTTACCAGCCGCCCCCGGAGGTTTACTCTGCCTCCTCCCTCTTTCTCTCTGTTCTGGGAAGGGATCGACAGCGCCTCGTGGTTCGGTGTTCTGTCGCATTTCTTTGGGTGTGACCCGGACCCAGGCTCCGCCTCAGTCCATTGCGACACTTTCAAGTTCTCAGTGACGCCTAATAACTTTGAAACATGAGCCCCAGCATGCTGCGCCGTCTTCTAGGCTGAGATCCACGTCGTAATGTTGTAGGGGGGTACCATTCCTCGTGGGGGAAGGTTCTGTTGACTCCAGGTGGAGTCCGCAATCGTGAGCCGTACACCTCTGATACTACGAAGTAATATACCAAGGTAGCTCGCCTCACAAACGAGAAGGGTAGCTTCGAAAGAGTGGGACAAGAACGAGCAGGGTCAGGGAATGAAGAATGGCCCGCGGAGGCTTTTGCGGTGAAGAAGACGGGCCTTGTATTTCCGAAGCCATAGAGTAAGAGATACAGGCCGAGCAGTACTCGCAAGAAAGAAAGCGGAGAGAGGAAGGAAATTTTTTTGATGTCTGTTAAGCGCCTGCAGAATGAGAGGTTGCAATCTTGCTGTCCAACATTCGGACGCCCCTTTGCTCCTTACTGGCCCCTTTCCTCTCACCCACTCCGTTTTTCTAGAAGAAAAAAAGGGAAAGAAATGAGAAGAAAGATATTACCGGGGCTCAATAAAATCCAAAGTTGGCGTTAATGATAGAGCGTTCTCGACAAACTCGCATCAATTACCTTGCATGGTTTGTATAGTAGTAATATTATTATTGCCTTGTGGTCTTAAGATTGCTACGAAGATGCGACTTCACCCCACTCCTCCACCTCGTCCATCTCACATGTACAATTCCAATGTTGTAATTGTGACCTTTCTTCCTGCTCCTTTCCCCCCACCACCCACCTTCGAGAAGCCAGAAAGAAGGCGAGCGATTCAAGGGAAAAAGGATAAACCAATGCAACCAAAAACAATCAACCTCGGAAGTAGAAATCTTGGTCTGGCAAATGCTGTATCAGGCCTAAAGAAGACGCGACCCCTCTTTTGGGTAGCATTTCGAAGCTCTCGCTAAGGCGGATGGATATAGAGCGAAGAACCACGAGCTACGGTTGCCAACATGCTAGCTGATGTCGAGTCGACATTGATCTATGGATATTCGAAAAACTTCGATGAACTCGATAAGCCCGACGATCATCGACGACACCGCGCGAAACAAGCAAACGGACTGGCTGGCTGGCTGTCTTGTCCGAAGTATACATACTCCACTGCAGCAGGGAGGGACTGGGGACTGGCCTGCCTGGCCTTCCTCACTGCTGGGCGTCTAACCCTTCCCAAAGGAGGCATAACAAAAGATCCTTTCTGCGCGCCCGCGCCAGCGCGTTAACAACCACACCCCAGAAATGGTCCACCCCCTCTCTTTCGGGTTTCTGTCCTCTGACCACCATTTAGGTCTCCAGGTAGAATAGAAAGTCTACCAAAGTAAGCTAGAATTTCAAGACTTGCGAGTGTAGTCGGAAAGGGAATGCGTGTAAAGGGATAGGGGCTGGGCTCTCTCTCTCCCTCTCTCTCTCTCTCGCTCTCTGTGTGTGTGTGTGGTCTCCCTTCCCCTCTCCCTTAGCTCTAACAGAGTCATATTGATCAATTGAGCAATTGATCGCGCTGGGCTGGGCGGGGGACTCTAAGACTGGGCCAGACCCTCGTCCATGGGGCGGTAGCAAGGGAATATCAATCAATGATCACAATTGGGAGGACTACAGTGGACCCATTCGACGTGCATATCGCTTGGAGTCCCACGTCACTTGATACCGATTCCATGACGACTTCCACGTTCATCACTTCACAATACCAAACCGTTTCTCGCTTCGGTGCAAAGAATTCTCGAAGGCTGGCTATAATTTATTATTTATTAAGTCTAAATTCCATTTCCATCTATAAACCTCGGGTCCCACACCCCATTAACATATACGTAAATCAAACATCCCTTCCTGAAGGGCAACTTTGGCTCGTTTCCCGCGCCATCCATTCACACACACATATCATTAATTGCGCCCACCCTCCCCATCCACCAGGAGGTATTGGGGACCGCCCTGCTTCTGCAGCCGCCACTTTCCACGGCCCACAGCCTGCGCACTCGGATTGGTTCTCGACTGGCCCCGCTCTCCGGAGCCCACTGGCTTGTTTTCTGAGGCTTTTCGCCCGGGGCGAGTCACCCGAAAACCGTGTCGAAAAAACCATGAGACGGACGGGGCCCATGACACGCGTGGCCGCATAAACATACAACCTTAGCTGACTCGCTGACGCTAAGAATATAGTACAATGCTGGTCGTATCCAGTTTTTGCCAGCTCTTGTCCGAGAACCGTCCATTCCACGTAGGAAAAGACCAAAAAAATGGATCCGAAAACACCATAAAAATTCCCAAGATCCGTTGATATTCCCGAGTAGTGTCCTTCGTCCATAGAAAGAGTGCCGATATGTGAAAACAAAAATAATGAATCGGTAGACTTCGAAATCCCGCAAACCCTTACGAGAAGAGAAAGGACTTTTTGGCCTATGATCTGCGGTGGCATACAGCTTGTGCCCCTGTATAGAGCTTTGCGCGAGGCGAGAGAGCACACCATCTGATGTGGCCAGAAAGCACTTGTCCCTCATCATCCTCACCAGATGGCCTGCGAGAGACCAATGGTAAGTAGATGGCGTGGATAGGATTCGATGACGGTGGTGCCTCGGCCAAGGCGAAAGTCAACTCGCCTTAGACACCTGGCCTGCTTCTTCCAAAAGGGACTCGCTGTGGCTTGCTTCCCGCCGTGCTGCCGCCCTATTCTCCGAGTCGCCAGAGGACTGGACTTGTAATGGAATGAGAGGTGTGATGAGGAAGAAAAGAAGAGAAATTAAACACCGGGGAGGACCCGGCCCCGTCATTCTTTGGATGCCAGACCAGTCCGTCTCATAATTCGCCAAACGCCCGTGAATCATTGCCACCGTTCCCTGTACGCCTTGCGCTCATAACAGCTCGGAATTATTGACACTTTTCGTCCCCATTGTCCACTCCAGTTGTGTTTGTGTATGATTTTCTTGGGATTGCGTTGCCCTTAGAGGTCTAGCTAGACCTGAGAGCTTCACGGCATCTTGCTCAAGCAACCACACCAACTTGGAATCGAGTCTTCACTCAGACTGGTGTTCTTCGGACCCAGTTTCCGAGCGAGCCTCGCCTTTGTGTACTTTTTGATGTCTGCGAAGATTCGAGACAACCGAGAAGTGCTTTCCGCAACCTTCAACTTCGCACGCGTACGCTGTTGTTGATGAAACCCAATGTTAGCTAAACGTATTCCATCGAACATCAATCTTAATAAGTAAAGGAGGAGCTTACGTTTTTCACCCGTATGGCTGTACATGTGCGTTTGTAAAGAACTAGGTCGAGTGAACCGCTTGTCGCACACCTTGCACTTGTGCTTCTTCTGCGTGCTCGATGAGACCTTGGAACTGAACTGGCTCATCAGTGACTGGGGCGCAGGCGGTACTTGGCTGGTCATCAGATTCTGTGGTCGTGGCAACGTGCGAGTCCTTGAAAGATCCATGTCCGAGCCCATTGCCGAGTAGTCACTGAGAGAGGACTCTCGATACGTGCTGAAGTTGCTGGTCGAGGAGATGGATGAATTCGTAGAGTGCGTCGTGGGAGGGAATCCGTACGAATCTGCCGACCCTCGCTGAGCTCGGGGAGGAGCATAGATGTTCCTCGGGGTCTCCTGGCTCATGGAAAGAAGGCCGTGGCTAGCATCCATGGCATCAGGATATCCACGCCTGTCGTGATGTTGTAGGGCGCTAGCGAGAGGTGTCAGTCCGCGAGGCTTACTGGCAAGGTCACGAGTCGTGGGGAGTACTAACGGTTGAGAGAATCTCCTGGCGTCAGGTGCCGGTGGCAGTGTGAAAGGTGGCCGGATGGGGTTTTGCGTATAAGCTAGGTTATCGTAAGGCGAAGTCGGAGCCGGATAGTGCGCATGGACTGGAGACGAAGAAGCGTAGGAAGGCTCTCCGTACTGAGCAGTTGTGACGTTAGGAAGCCGATTTAGCCCTAGTAGATCTTGCGCTAGAAGCATTGAGTAAGTATTACAACCGGATCCATGAGGGCGGCGTTAAGAGGGTCCGGATATTTACCTGCTGATGTGGCCGGCACTGGCATCGATGCATATGAGGCGGACGAAGATACACTGCTCGTGCTCGTCCTCGCATTGTGATGTCTAGGCATGCAATTCATACCCATTCCGGGGTTTAGGGTTTGATGATGATGATGCGCGCTGTGATTGCTGCTGGCATAGATATTGTTCCCAACGCTGGGGGCCGGTGTAGAAGACCACGGGTCTGAGAACTGTGGTGGTGAAGCCGAGGAAGGGTATGAAGGATCAAAGTTGAGCGGCCCGTAGCGCTGGTTTGTGTCGAGTGTGAGCGTCATGGTGGGCGGCTGTATATGGTCCAGGTCTACGTCCTTTGGTCCTTTGGTTCAACTATGTGCCTCTCTATTCGAAGTGTCGATGAAGGTATGAGCCAAGTATGTTGTGAGTGAGAGTTGGAAGGAGGATGTTTCTGACAAGGTGATATAGCCAAGGCGGCGGCACTTAGATATATAAGTGTGTGTTTGTGTTGGTGAGAAGTGGGTCGCTAGATGTGTTTGAGAAACAGGGGGCGGGACAGGTTGTGTCTTTAAATGTCGCTTGGGAGGTGTCAGGGAGTGGGAAGCACTGCCAGGCCTGCCCACTACTTTTGCAAGAAGTAGTTGGGTACCAGTGATTAGAGGGTGAGCAGGATGTCTCTTGTCAGTGGTCGAGGCTGCAGGTTGGCTGCATGCGAGTTGAAGAAAGCTCAATGTTGTCTCTAGAAATGTGATTCTGCTTCTCCCCCTTCTTAAGTAGAAGAGCCTGTTGTCTTTCTCTCTTTTTTCTCCCTTTTTTTTTTCTTTTTTTTTTTTTTTCCTGGAGAGGGCGTTCGTCTCTTACTGCAAAGTAGAGAGCGTCAAGCAACAAGAACAAGAAGAATTAAGAGATTGAAACTGAGGATTGTGTGTTCAATGGGTTCGGCTTTTTCTTCAAGAGTACAGTGACCAACAAACAATGTCAATTTGAAAGAGATGTGATTCGGTTTGGTCGGGTTGGGGATGGCAGGTAGTAATAGCCCCGACTTGAGGTGGATATGGGTACAATTGTATGGAGTAGACGATGGGGAAAGTGGGAAGTGGGCAGGGTAAGAGAGGGTAGTAAGCAGGATGGAGAGTGGTATGTAAGTTGTTAGGGTACAATTGTACTTTTTGAGGTGAAGAGGGTGGTCACCGATCCGGGACCAGCTGAGGACGGCCGAGTGGGCGGGAGATGGGTCCGGCACTACTCGGTAGATGAGTGGTGAGATGGCGGAAAACCCAGAGGCGGTTGTGCAAGGGTCAGGGATCAGCACGCGAGATCTATCGAGAATCTTTGGTCACAGCCTTTTGTGATCAACCTAATACTGGAAATGTCGTCGTCGAGAGGAGGGCAGTGATCGTGGAGAGCTCAATACCGTTTTCGTCAATGTCGATCTGGATGCACTGCTTCCGAGCTACTGCGGGTTCCGATCGATGGTGTTTCGCGATGAGGTAAGAGAGGAGGATAATCCAACTGAGCTCGCCCGCCGGTGCCTTGTAGTTGATATCCTGGTCGGCTCAGGGGTTTATGAGCATGGATTGAAGCCTAAGATTTCAAGACAAGAGATGGTCCAAGGGAAGGAAAGGTATGATTCAGATAGGTCGATAAAGTATTATAGACTGGCGATAACCAATCGATATATATGAGAATACGCAGACCTCGTTGTATGAGTGATGGTTATCAGTTACACCTGAGGAGAGGAATGGGAGCAGAAGAAGGCCTTTTTACACTACAAGGAGGATGGGGTCCGGTATGGCTCTTGACGACAGATGATGTCGAGTCGACAAGAGCACCCACAACACCAGTAACATGGGGCAGGGGGGTGAGAAAGTTGGAGTTGAGCTAACCTAGAACTCTACCCATCGCTCGTCTGGCTTCTTCTACAATTCTCCCTCTCTGTACGTACACCTACTTGGAGAAGTAGGTATGTACAGGCGATTACTCACTGGTGGATGCATCATTAGACCTAGGGGAGACCGGAGACTTCTCAGGATGGATCCCAGCCCAGGGAACATGGACTAGACCTGGATGTGATACGGTTAAAGCATAATTGTACGAAGTACAGCACGGTAGCTAATGTATACTGTATATCTCTTGGAGAGAGTAAGGGAGGGTGTGTCCACAAGGACCCTAAGGGTGTGTGTTTACCGAATCCAGGGTGTGGGTGGGGTGGGGAGGAGCGGTTCAGCCAGGGCTTTTTTGAAATACTGCCAGGAAGTATATAGTACTTATATATTATACACAATGTTGCGAAATATATTGGTATATACTACATTTGGTATACTCATCGGACCCACTTATCGTTGAAGCACCAAGTACCCAAACTCGGACTGGTACCTTGTTACTACCCTGGTGGCCATCCGCCCTGCGCCAGACCCAACTGGAAACCCTCGCTCCAACGAACAGATTGATTGATGCTGTGGAGTACGAAGTACACTACGCCAGGCCAGCGTACGAGAGAGCCTGTGAAGGACTGTCCCAAGAGTTATGTACTTACCCTGACAACTATAATCTACGTAATCTTCCGTACCTATCCTGTTTGCACAGTACGCATGATATGAGTAGCACTTGTTTATACGGTTGCTCTAAGTGGATCACAGCCTTCATATTGGACGAAAGCGGCCTTGAAATGGCACGGTCGTGAGAGCAAGATTCACTCATTAGTGACAGAATCAAGATGGGGCACCCAACACATCCAGGGTGACCAGCATAGACCATCCGGTCTTGCATTTTGTCGCATCTTATTGTCCATTGCTTCACTTGCGTGACAACAGTCACTTGGTACGCGAGGGGCGAAAATCTTGATCAATTGATGTCATTCAACGTGATGGCCTCAAGGTTCCAGGTCTGTCTCTCGTAGGCGAGGCAGAGAACGAGCTAGCGGGTGGAAGGCGATAATTTGTGGCGGGACAAGTTCTCGGTATTACTTCAGAAGAGAAGAAGGAAAAAAAAACATCCGGACTTCGGGGAGACATAGCATCACCAGAGACGGCAAGGGAACAATCCCAGTCAGGTCATCTGCTTCCTTTACGATGAGATGGAGGATGTGTGCTACTAAGTATGAGTGGGCTCCGAGTGCAGGGACCGAGGTCTTGATCCCTGTGAAGGTGCCAACATCTTTCAAGGCTAACGAATGGATGAAGAATTGGTCTGAATTGGATTCCCCGATGAGAATTCTTATCGAGTGGTGAGAGTTGATGTGAATTTTCCCTAACTGGTACTAGCACTGGTTCGTCCAGACTTCTTGTTGCTTCGATCAGCTGTTGCGCGGAGTGTTCGAAAGCGCGACCACGGCAACTTGCTGCAGACCGCGGCAATCATTGTCGCCTGGCTTACAGGGACGCGGCAAGCATTTTTTTTTTTCTTTTTTTTTTTTTCCAGGTGGCGTTCTTTATCGCCGAGGACTCCCTGTCATCGCAACTTCCCGTGGTCTGTTCTTCCGAATTGGGATTCTGACCTGACAACCTAGCGAACCAAGTGCATGCATTTGTGGATGGTCTTCTTGAGGGAATGTGGGGAAGAAGCAAACCCGGAGTCCAGCCAAGAGAAGATGGCCTGCTTCCCTGCGTCTCTCAACCGGTCCTGTCAGGAGTTCCGAGATCGATGGATCGCCAGGTCCCTCCGATTAGACTATTTTTTCTTCCCACTTGTGTATGCGTACAATATGAATATCAATTGATGTGCTTTGTCATGGAGTTTGTGTGTCTATTCTGGCGGAAGAGACCACCTATGATGTAGACTGTTATACCAACGCCCCAAGACAGAAGTTTGTGAATGTCATCCAGAAAAAGGAGTAAGGCAAGGGGAAGAAATTTACGATTCGTCAACTCAGAGACCCGCTCTCTCAACGCTGCCATGTGAAAATCGACAGGGCCTTGACGTGTGAAGAAGGACCATTGGAGCGCACGAGGTGAGGAAGGAGGAAGGGACAGTGCGCTTCGTCGATGCATCAATACTTGTCCGAAGGATGATGACATCTGCCATCGTGAATCGCTTATTACCTCTTCCTGAGCACATCTCGTTCACGGGGATAAGGTTGGAAAAACAAGCCACCGGCTATTATGGCACAAATCTCCTCGCCTTTCTTGCCTCAGTTTTCTTTTCTTCCAACTCTTTGGTCTGGAAGACTCGATAACCGTCAAGAAGATTGTGTCAGGTGAGTGTCGAGTACACTAGTCGAGATCGTGTCAAAGTCAATTTGAACCGACCGTTTTTTTCTCTATCTTTCATCTCGTACCGCTTAACCAAAGCTGGGTTAGACAACTTCGCGCAATATTTCACCCCCAGAAATTTCCAGCGGCACCATTCGCTCCTTCAGCTCTACGAGGTAATTCGTACTTTTCCCTTTTCAGGGTCCATGGCCCAAGCTGGGGCTTTTAAGCAGTTACGTCAGAGGCACCGCTGGCCCGCTCTGAGCTGTGCCAATGCGACAGCGGACTCCTCAAACACCTACGATCCGGCCTGTAAGAGGAGATCCAGTGTGCTGGCTTCAATGTTGTCTTGAACGTCATTGCTTTTTCCGAGTCCCACCATCCTTTCTCCCGAACCCTTTCTGGGGGTTTACATGGGCGTGCTCGTCTTCGTCTACGACTTGGAAGACGATGGGGAGAATGTCTCGGTCGAAATACATACGAGTCGGACAGGGAAAAACCGCTTCGTATGGTCGAGGGATTCAGTGATGACCAACATTCTACGATTGTCGAAGACGAACAATAGACGGGCCGACGTTTGTGGTTTCACTGGGCATTCGCGTCAAGGGCTAGGACTGACGCGCTGCGAGGATGATATGTTGTTAGCCTCCTCGGTCCTGCGAGCTTGCTCCTTGCATTCAAACGCGCCTGCCGCCGAGGTATAGCGTTGGACCATTGGTGGAAGGGTGCGTCGCTAGGTGAACGATCTGATTTTTTTTTTTTACTTTTTTATTTCTCTTTTCTGTATGGGTCGAGCATCACCATCAGACGTTGCTCCGAGAAAACAGTCGGGTAATGCCATGCGTGCGCCCGAGGGCGGATCCTTGGGGGAGTCGGTGCCATCAGTGGGACACATGAGGTTCTGTCAAACACCGAGCCTCGAGACATTCCAAGCAGCATTCATCCCAGCAACGTGGGCCTAATGAACGAAGGAAGCTACTCGAGTGAGAGCCACACGATGTCTTAATTCGTTTTCTTCGTCTCTCTTTCTTAATTATTCTCGTGCCCTGCACCTTTGACTCACCTGAAGAACGGCCCGAAGACATTATCTATCCCCTGTCTTTTGGGCTGGAGCCACTCCAAAGGTGTGG